CCTGCTGAAGAGAGTCGGGTCAGCTTAGACCAGGCATCAGCAAAATATTAACATCATTTATTTCCAATAAAAACAGCAGGTAACATTATAGCATAAGCAATCTCAGCTGTAGACAAGAAGGATTTGGAATGGAGTTAACAGATTTCTGTCTACCCATTTTCACAGTGCAAGAATGAAGTATGGAACATAAACAGTGAGAAGATGTGTATACATTTCCCAAAGAAACTGGACTGAAACAGTGGCAGCAAATCCATTTAACAGCACCACTGGTTTACCTATTCCCACTTCTTCCCCCAAAGGTCCATCTAAATTCACTCAGACATGAGACACACCCAAAATATTAAGCTTCTGACCAGGCACTAGTATTACTAAAACAATGCAGAGTACAGATGACAAAATAACCATGATCAGATGGACAAGTTACACTTTTACTTCACTTATGCTTTTTTTTAATGTTTCCTGCATTTCTTCTAGGAGACTGAGTAAAGTATTAGCAAAACAGACCTTTCTGGGATACAGAGAGCAGTCATTTCCCAACTTAGCTCACCACCAAACCCTAATTTTAAGTTGCCACTTGCACTGATCTCAATGCAGTCCAATGAGAAATTTCCAAAGTAGTTGAGTTATTGTCAGGCTCCTACCTGCAACAATTCTTATGTAAATTTGTCATTTTGTCAGTGTCTCACAAAACCACTTCTCAGATTAGGAGAAGCATAATGCTGTCTATGCCTAGAATATTTGGAGGTCTATAGTGTTTTCCATACAAATTCTCTAAAAAAAATAAAAAAATAAAAAAATCAGCAGAGCTTTGTTTTACTTCTACTCCACTGCTTCCAGGACAAGGGCGATCACCTCTGGCCTGCACATCTCAGCCATAAGAACAGGAAATATACCCCATGCGTTGTCCAGAGGCACACTCCCCATGAGCTCTTCAGGCATGGGCAAGGACTGGGTCATGGCTGGGATGACCCATGGCTTGGGCAGCCTGCCCACTACTAACCCAGACACACGCCATACGTGATGGGGATGAGTACATGTTTGTTTATAGCAGCACGATCCTCTCATGAGTAACTTCATCATCAACTATTTTGGCCAGACAGGTTGCTCACTATCCTTTTTCGGGGGGAGCAGGATCACAGGCACAGCAGGCTTCAGCTGCACACGTGCTCAGGTCAGAGTCACTGGGCTCCAGCGTGCAGAAAAAGAGATGGACGACTGCTGCCACAGGAGCATTTCACTTAGCCTGCCTACTGTCTCCAAGTGAGCCCTGGGATTGCCTGCCGGCGAGGTGAATTTTCTTGGCAGAGAACAAGCAGTGGCATACTGACCGTGCCGGCTTTGGCACATCACATGGAGTCCTTCCCTAGGCACAGAGCAGCCGAAGAGCATCCACACACAAGACTGTGGATGGCACTACACATTTCAGACTACAGGGCAGAAAGACAAAGCAGAACTATAGGCTAAAACAAACAGGTGTGTAAAATGCACACTCTTATTTAATCAAGTGTAGCAAACAGGACTAGTATGATCAAGCTTTCTGTCTTGCAGGAGAATTGTTCAGAGCCTGGTCCCTGCTAGATTTTTAAAACAGTCTGGAATAGGAGCACAAAGAGCAAGTTAATGCCTATTTATTTCAGCCTACTTTTACCAGGGTATGCCCGAGAGCACACGCTCCCTAAAACCACGCAGGCTGGTGCATCTGCAGCTTGTATCCTCATCACATCCCTGGTTCAGAAGGTAGCCATGGCCTGAGTGTGCTGTCACCTCCTTGTCACCAGCTGATAATGAGCCTCCTTATCTGCAGTCACCACATAGGAAGAGACGGACTGAGGGGCTGCAGCCTCAGCAAAAGCCCCTTGTTTCTCAGTTGTTTTGGTGCCTTGGTACCTCAACAAACCACCACTCCTTACTATACACCTTCCCTAGATTAAAGGCACTTTTAGCTCATCTGTTATTCACCTCCTACCAGCAACAGTCCTCAACAGTACAGGCAGGCAGACCTTTTGTCATTTGTGTCAAGGAAGGGATGAGTCTGGTTAAAATATTTTCATGAGGCTTCAACTGTTTCTTCCAGAAGCTGCTCAGAAAACAGTGGCAAATTCATCAACAGGCTAGGTCATCACACATGCCAACAAACCACCTGTACACAGGAATACTGCATATAGGGAGAAATCGTATGGCTCTAAACACATAACTGTTTGACAGCTCTCTAAAACAAACTGCATTTCCAACCCTCAGCGGTGGTCCCTCACCTTCTTCCTCTCCAACTGCAGGGCCAGGCTTGCCCACCCCCCTCCCCCCAAAACCACACACACAAGACAGCTCCACAACTCAGTTCTACACCATTCCTTCCACACATTTTCCAAGACCACTTTTCCCCCACTGCACATCTAGTCAGCCATTAAGAGACAGAATTGCATGTGAACTAGGAAATGTAAGTAATCCAACAGTTTTCCAAGTCTGTTTCCATACATTTTGCAGCTAATGAAAGCTTTTTTTTTCCTATAATAAGTAACAGAAATCTTACAGTTCCTCCATACATGTTTTGACAGTATGAATGTTCACCTTCCTCTTCTCAGCCCATTCCAGATGTGCCTCTTTACTAGTCGCAAGTACAGATGTTCAGTAACCAGTAATTAAAGTTATGATAGAGCTTTATTTACAAATCTCTATTTTTCAGAGCTTAAATTGCTACAGTACTTCAGCCAAGATAAAAATCTTGGCCTAAGGGTGAAGTTTCAAGATTGTTTTAAGCCAAGTCAGTCTGGTGGCTTCAGGATACCCAGCTATCGATGACCTCGCTTCAT